TAACGGAAAGAGTGTCTATTGTATTGTACGAAACTAAAGCTGTTTTTTGTATAAACGTAGGTTTATAGCTTTATTTACTCAAAATTAGTTTTGGCACCTATGTCAGCGAAAAAGTGAATGCGCACATGTTTCTATAACGTGAGCTTTTACTGGTGTGCGCTATTTCAGTAGACTCTCAGTAAACGACAACCTGTTAAATGGAACTACTGCTTAAATGGAACTGTCGCCTCTGAAATGCTTGGTTTTATGCTTGTATTCTGCAACCATGTTCATTTCTCAGTAAACGGAACTCTTGTTAAATGGAAGACATTTTCCTGGTCCCTTCAGGTTTCGTTTACCGAGAGTTTACTGTAATTTTCTCTATACTAGCGATGCAATACAGCACCTATTTCGTTATAATCTTTTGTAACGAAAACATGCAGATATGCATTCGTTTGCACGGAGCAGAACAGTGGCTCCATTTTCGGATGACATATGACACGATGCTCATGGAGCGGCACCATGAAGGTTGTTAGCTGAGGGCCTATAGGCACCTGCAGACTAGTTGAAAAAGTACGAAGAGCCCCTCACGGCCTCCGAAATTACATGCGATGACGCTCAGCCAGAACTAATGGCGGAGGCCATGAGTGTCTAGCTCGCTAGGCAGTAAAGAGATCCCATGCGGTGATGAACTTCAGGAAGACTTGTTCTACTTGCTTTTTACATTCCAAAACAATGAAAAAACGTCAACGTGAAGGTGGTCAACCACAGCTTCACCCTCACCTGTGAAACCGAAGCCTTGGGCACCGTGCAAGGAGTGGTGCTTGCATCACTGTCACTTCACGTACAATTCAGGTGCTTTTCACACTAAAAAATACTGCTAATAATATAACCAGATGCCTTTTGAGTCAACCACTGCTGCAGCTACAGACAGAACGTATGGGGAACTTTATGTTCTGTCATGAAAGAACTGTGTTGAGTGAAATTGGTTGTCGGTCCCTTTAACTGAATCAATTGCCATCATAGCTGTATATCACTTCTGTAAAACACACCCAACACTTAAATTTGGTTGTGAGTTATTGTAGTCATACCACTTCTTGGTTTAAGCACTGTTAATGAAAATAGTAATATTATTAGGACAGGATAATTTTGAAGAAAATTGTAATAGTGCATGTATGATATGCACTAAACCTTTATCCAAGTGCAAGATGTTCACAAATAAGTAAGAAGTGGGTTCTTTGCTTACGAAAAAAGGGAAAGAACTTTGTTTCTTTAGTCATTTTATTTGAAGTGTTCTGTTATTTAGATATTCTTACACAGAAACCCAACTTTAGGGTTTATGACAGCTCCAGTGTCACACATAATTTAATTACAGGCTCACTGTTGGGGTGTATTATATTTACTTGCGTAATGCATGCACTCACATAATAAACGCACCCCCAACTTAAATCGCCAAAATACGGATGTTTTTTCTCCCACGTAATAAACGCACTACCTACATTCTTCCGCTACATTACTGCGAATCGACAGCTGGTGCCTCTTTGCCTTCTGGATCTTATTCATTTTCATAATGCCGACCCTTCTCAGTTCGCTCTTCCCCCCCCCTTCGTCCACTGACGCGCACCGTCTTGTTTTTATTTACATCTGTGCCGCAGTGGAGTTCACGAACAGTGCGAGTGAAAAGACATCGCAGGTTACAAGTACACGGCTGGTGAAAGTGGTGAAACTTCTTATGTCAACTAGAAGATGCTTTGTGCTAACAGAGAAAACCTTGAAGACCAACCACATACGCACTACTTTCCGGTGACGGCAGCAGGATTTGCTGTCGCCATGGCTGTCGCGAAAGGCCATCGTGTCGCAAGTATCTGGAAAACCAGACAAAATTGTTGTGGTCCAGAAGAGAGCGTGACAATTTCCGTTGATTGGTAGCACCCCTGATCCTTGCTTCGGTTTCAATTTGCTCTTCATATACTCGTTATCCGGCCGCACGTGCTTAAAGGAATCCAAGGCTGCCTATTCTACAGTCACTTCTCATGCGGAGAGCGGGGTAGTGACTGTATTTTGTTGTTAATCTTGCTACTGATGGTTTGTTTTGGGGATTCAGTGGTAGCTTACTGCAATGATGATTACTTGCTACAATGTTAACATCGTCGATGAGGTTGTTGTGCGATATTACCACAGAGTTTGCAAAGTGCGTCATAGCTCAAGATTACAGCAGATACCACTGAACAAAAGATTGCAAAAAAAAAAAAACCGCGAAATGCTTTCATGGTGTGCATGAGCGGAGCGGGGCAGCTTGCAGAAGATAGCGCCGTCGACCACCGAAGATGAGTGAAGTGCGACACAGAAGCCATTTCGAAACAGTGTACGTCAAGCTACCTACATTTTTTTTTGCTGTACTGCATTTTTTGCTCGTCTCCAAAAACTTTTTCGTAAAACTTGCCCCGCATACTAAACGCACCCCCTACTTTGCTTCGATATTTCAGGAAAAAATAAGTGTGTTTGCTACGCGAGTATATACGGTAGTCTATGCTTTAAATTTCATTGCAGTTTAAGTGACGGGAGCACTTGAAGTTCACCTGTAGTGTTTTGTCTCTGCACTGAAAAGCCAAGCGTTGTATAGAAACAGATTACACCGCAATGTGCTATGCTTTATGTTCTACGTGTTCTCCACACACAGGCTAAAACTCACTTCACCAGCCTTGTCTCTTGCATCTGTTATGGTCATGGTTCCTTCACTCTGTTCAAGCAAAGCTTGTGTTGACTGACGTGTGAGGCTGGTGTTCTGAAAACCTTTTCTAGAACACCAGCAAATTAAACAAAAAATTTAAATACGTATATAATGTTGGCTTACTAAAAGCAATCTGCTTGACAACGCTTCAGATTGAGAGCAGGAATTGCACATTTCAGTAAAATTTTGACTTGGTGAAAGTTTCAATCCTAACTTGCACTTCAACCATCGCATGGTAGTCCTTTAATTGGGCCATTATAGAGGCTGGCAAATTCTGGATAGAACATCAAAGATGCCATGCTGATTCATCACTAACGCATTGTTCTAGGGATGGCTGCCACCTAAAACTGAACACATAGTTTAGGAGGGAGCATTGCATTATGCAAAGAATAGAGGGAAAGACAAAAAAAGAAAGCAGTACCCCAGGCATTTCCCTGTCCACTTCGTTGAGTATTTTTGTCCATTGAATACCTGGGAGCCAGGGTCGCCAATAGCAAAGGCAATGAGTGTGAAACATTCTTTTTTGTCAGAGGGCAAGCTGCGGCACGTGATGTTTTTACGAGCTGGTGGCTGACTTATAAACCCATGCATGCCAAAGAAGGGCATCAAGACTCAATCCGTGGAGTGTCAATTGGTTTTATTCGTAGAGCAATGGATGCATAACTAAAAGGTTGTGAGTTTGAATCTCATCTACAGAAAGGTTGATGTTTCGTTAATTTTAATTCATTTCAAACTACTTCATAACTAATACATTACAGTTAGAATGAGCAGTTAGTATTCCCTATGCTTTCTTTCCCCAGCCTAACTGTCTGTTAGACTCAATGGTAGGTTGTAATTATTGGATTTTTTTCTCGTAAGACTCCAGAATCTAATCTAAATTATCTTCGGCATCGCTGTGTGCTCTCTGAGGTGTTGATGACGCAAGTAAACGAATGGTTCTCCTTGTTTCAGGCTGTGCCCGCGCTTCAAGGGAAAAGACCACCTCGAAGAGATCATGTACTACGAGAATGTGCGTCGATCTAACCTCGTAGCCCTTTTGGACAAGTTTCGCGAGGTGCTCTTCACCGTGCAGCATGAAGATCCCACAATAGCAGTGTTCTACAGCTGACATAGTGGTTATTAGGCGTCTTGTTTTCAAAGAGTGTGCCCAAGCATTGGCCTCTGGACATTGTCGGTGAAACTTCGGCTCCGCTGCTTCGAGTGGCGCGTTTCGTTTGACCTAGTGTAATTATTCACCGTTGGCTGATAAATGCTGACAGGGCAGAATGTCTTCTTGGGCCATCTCATTTGTTGTTGTTTTTTTCTTTTTAAGTAGATCGTGCCAAATATTTCCGAAACTATCTGTCGGGCAAAACCACGCACTTTAGAAGCCACGACACCAAATTTTCGATCATAATCGATGTTGTGTCGGTTGGTCATTGTACTACATTCACAGACAAGCTGGTGAAATTTTAGTGCATCTGCTCGTGCACTTAGTTTGTAATTCAATATCTTTGTTAACACTCGAGTGATCTGAGGACCTGGCTGCAGTGAAGCACGCGTAAGCCACGATATAACAAGCTGCCTGCTGTGTGAGCTTCTGCATTCCAGTTAATGGCTAAGTTCTACGTTCAGCTGTGGGTGTGGTCAAGCTATTTCAGATTTGTTCAGGTTGGCATTGAAATGAACGATTAGCAAAGGCTGGAACCTTGATGGAAGATGACGGTGTCGCTGCATGCACGACGTGATGTTACAGACACCATGACTAAATGCTGGTGTCTGACTGCAGACGGGAGCTATAGCAGGTGACTTTTTAAGCTTATTTTGTGACAAAATATTCTTTTACAGTCCATTTTTCATATATCTTTAGGTGCAGTAGACCCTTTACTCCTATTTTATTTTTTCTGAAAACCACAAATTATTGATTGACCCTTTAAAGTTCATGGCCTCTTTAAAGTAAAGAACCATTGTCTCGAAGGTGGATGTGGATTGTTGCAACCTTCACGAAATTTTCTAGTATTTGACAACTGTTGCCTAAAGCACTTTGTTTACACTGACACAACTAATGAAGGCTCGGGGAAATATGAGATGTCATTTTCCCAAACAATAAAACTGTTCTCTATTGTTATTCATTGCTACAATTTCATACGTGCATTCAATTTAAGTCCAGAGGCGTGTTTGCTTGGTTCCTATTGTGCATGTTTTGCAACATGCTGACTCAGCGAAAGTATGGTCAGTCTACTTCGACAGATAGAAAGACTGTGGTATGGTGCAGTGTATTCGTGTACATATAGCCCGGCAACACGACACATAAAATAGCAACAGCATGTATTTCCTCAGGCCTTGGCCTTGTTTGGCGAGAGCACAGCTATGGGCACTACTCGCTCTTTGAGAGCGGCTGGCTCGGGCGACTTCTTTGCGGCACGGATGACGAGCACTCCCTCTTCGTCGGCCAGGAACTCGGAGCTCACTTGCTCGGGGTCCACGTCCGGAGGCAGCATGTACCGGCGTGTGAACTCGCGGGACACGAAGCCGTGCTCGTCCTGGCGTTCTTCATGCTTGCCGTGCACCAGTACGCTGTCTGTGCCTAACACCTGCGTAGAACATCACCGTGCATGAAGTTAGAAGTAGGAGGCACAACCTTTCACCGCAGCAGTCCTACACAAGATTTTGCGCAAGAACCGCGACTGCAGGTGCTAGCACGCTGTTTTTCCTCGAGGGTTAGCTTTTTCACGTTGACAAGGTGCTTGATTGGGCTGGTTGGTGCTGTATGGTAGACGAAGAAAGTGCTTAACAGTGCAAACGACAGGAGGGGATAGAAGAGACAAGAACAGAGCGCTCTGTTCTCGTCTCTTCTATCCTCTCCTGTCGTTTGTGCTGTTAAGCACCTTCTTCGTTTTCCACGTTGGCATATGAAGCGACTGCCTACCAACATTTAAAACGGAACACGGGCGATTCGCCGCTATTCACCAATTTCAATAAAATTTAGAACACATGTTCTCGTACGCACTACGGTGATATGTGCCAAATCTTACAACCGTAAGCCATTTGGTTTTTAGAAAAATAATTTTAAAAATCAGTAGCCAAATCTGGAATCGCACTTATAAACACGGGTCACTCTGCTTCTGTGACGTAAGTGCTTACTGTTTTTCAAAGCCTCGCGTCACCCAACAGACGGATGCAGCGCTTTCTTTCTTCTACGAGATGCAGCTACGCAAGCAGAAGTTGGTTTTGTCAGCTGCATATCGTGTTAGTCTTCGTTGACACCGGGTCTAACACTAAGCATGCACAATATTGAGCAACGAGGAGCTTGATTCTAAGAACATCAAATGCTTCACGTGCGGGTGTGTTGAAGTGGAAAGAAGATGCTTTTGTGCTCATATAGCATGTGTTATCATCGCTGAACTTGTCACTGGTAAGTTCAGACAAGTAGGCACACTGCAGCTTGATTCTGCATAGGGTGACACCGCCAACTTGTGTTTCGTGTGGTAGAAAAAGCGAAGGTGCTGTGTAGACCCTGGTGAGCCGTGACAAGGTGTCATGATGTCATTGTATACCTAGCTCTGAGCAGCTATCTGTTTCATTTTCAGTTTTGACTGGGTCGATTACGTAAAATTATTCGCGAGTCTATCAGCAAAATGAACCACCCTTGCTGTTACAAGACTCTTAATGCTATTTTTAAACATCATTACCTCGATATGGTAAAAAATGCACCGGAGTTTCCCTTCAAGTCCGCCTAATTTCATGGCGCCATTGCGCATGCGCCCTTGCTTAGCGGGATTATCGCAAAATGCTGCGGTAGGGTCTTCGAACGCTTTTCGATCTCGGAGGCTTTTCTACTGGCGTTTCTGGTTGTACTGAATCCCGCCACTAAGTTCCACACCCCCTCTCCCCCCCCGAAATGGCAGAGGGCACTCAGAAAAATAAAAAAAAGGTGCATTGAGGGCAATTAGCACTTTCATATAAATTCCATGGTAAGCTGCCGAACTTTCTCTGCCGAGGCGACAGCAACACCCTAGCGGGAGAAGGAAAGAAAGCGCAGCCTTCATTCAAGCCCTAACTACACGAAGGCATTACAACGCATCACCGCGTGGCTTGTAGATATGACGCCGCGCTCTAAACTGCGCGCTCTCTCTTTCTATAGAGAGAGGGCGCGGCATCGAGTCTGCCCACCATGCACTGACGCGATGGAACGCGTTCGTGTAGTTAAGGCTTAAATGGAGAATGTGCGAGAAGTGGATAAGTTTCTCGCTGAAAGATAGGCAAAAACCCGGTGTTTCGGGACTTTACGTGGTTGATGTGTTGAGGCGCTGAAGGCATGCGCATTCGCATGCATAGGGTCTCGCACAGCTGCGTGTTCACAGCTGCAGTAGTTACTCCCAAAAGTGCATAGTTACCTTATAAGCAGTATTTTTCGATTTGAAAGGCTCTGAACACCGACGTGCCTTTTTTTCCAACAAAGCTGAGAATTCATAGTGATGCCGGTAGCCCTTCTAGCGACTTCTACATGCTTTCATTCTTCTGCTTTTGCAGGAGTTCCTGTAGCTATGCTTAACCCACTTAGAAAGGGCAACGCAGAAACTTGGGGAAAAGAAGGACAGTAGAGACAGAGAGCGTTGACTAACAACTGAAATTTTATTGCCGTCACCTGTGCATAGATGCCGGTAGCCCTTCTAGTGACTTCTACATGCTATCATTGTTCTGCTTTTGCAGGAGTTCCTGTAACTATGCTTAACCCACTTAAAAAGGGCAATGCAAAAACACGACTAAAAGAAGGACAGTAGAGACTAAGAGCGTTGACTAACAACTGAAATTTTATTGCCGTCACCTGTGCGTATATATGTGCCTAAAAATGCGATTGGAAGGAGGTTAAAAGCAAGATAAGAAGGCTGATTTTAACCTGCGATTGAAGAAAAAAATCTGAAAACAAAAAAATCTTATAACAAACTCACGCATGCGTGATAAGTGAGAAGCACCAGGCCATGACAATCCGTCCCCATTAAAAAAAACTGAGTACTGCGAAAGTCAGGAGAGCAGCCGCAATGTCTGCAATGGTCAGCCAGAAAACCAATACTTGTATTACGTACATTATAGTCATGCTTTTTCGCTCTTTTATTAAAACACCTGCCATTTTGACCTATGTGCTCAAGTCCAAAACTTAAAAGAAACCTATAAACTACGTTAGAAATGCACTCTGTGAACCTGTTCCTGTGTTTGGTTGTACTCCTGGGGCGTCTACCTGTGTTGGCCATGCCACATAACCTCGAGAGTTTGTAGGGCGCAGACAGTACAACTTGCACGTCATGCTTTGATGCAATTCTCTTCAAGTTATGCGAAAATTTGTGAACGTATGGGATGACTTGAACATGCTTCATCTTTTTTGTACCAACTTTTTCTTTTGTTTGATCGCGTTTCATGTTCCGTACCAGGGTCTCACACACCGCACGCATTTGCCTGCTTTTTGGCGATAACCACATCTGTTGGAAGTATAATAGTGTGAAATCATGTTATTTTCTTACTTTTATATATTCTATTGATGTGGTAATAGCGTCTATGAACAAATGCTGACCGAAGTCCAAGATACACTGGGTGAGAGCTTCGTCAAGCTGCCTAAAAGCAGCTTTTTCTCTCACTCCCCATGATCTGTATTGCTCATGAAATAAACATCTATTCTATTCTATTCTAGATCCAAGAAACCCTTGTTACGTCATGGCAGTGACCATTCCAAGCTTGTTAAGCGAAGCCTCGTAGTGAACTGTTTGCATTCAGCCCTGAATAAGTCGTGTGTACATGTAATTTCATCTAGCTTTAATGTGCAGGTTACCAGATTGAAGCTGGTGGGTTACTCTCCTGAATTAATTTCTGGGGTGTGTGAGACCCTGGTACGGAACATAAAACGCGATCAAACAAAATAAAATGTTGGTAGAAAAAAGATAAATCATGTTCAAGTCGTCCCATACGCTCACAAATTTTTGCATAACTTGAAGAGAATTGCATCAAAGCATGATGTGCAAGTTGTACTGTCTGCGCCCTACAAACTCTCGAGGTTATGTGGCATGGCCAACACAGGTAGACGCCCCAGGTGCACAACCAAACACAGGAACAGGTTCACAGAGTGCATTTCCAATGTAGTTTATAGGTTTCTTTTAAGCTGTGGACTTGAGTACATTGGTCAAAATGGCAGGTGTTTTAATGAAGGGCCGAAGGAGCATGACTATGATGTACGTAATACGACTAGTGGTTTTCTGGCTGACCGTTACAGGTGTTGCGGCTGCTCTTCTGACTTTCACAGTACTCGGTTTTTTAAAATGTGGAGGGATTGTCATGGCCTGGTGCTTGTCACTCATCACGCATGTGTGAGTTATTTTGAAGATTTTATCGTTTTCAGTTTTTTTCTTCAATCGGTGATTAAAACCAGCCTTGTTATCTTGCTTTTAACCTCCTCCCAATTGCATATACAGGCACATATATATGCACAGGTGACCGCAATAAATTTCAGTTGTTAGTCAGCGCTCTTTGTCTCTACTGTCCTTTTTTTCCGTGTGTTTTTGCTCTGCCCTTTCTAAGTGAGTACTATAAACCAGCTAGCCCAAACCAAAGCACTTCTCTTATGCTTAACCATGTTTATTTTGAGTTTTATAATTATTTTTGAAAATAACAAGCCGTTACAATGAGACAATGTGGTTTTATACAGCTTCCCTATATTTGTACAGGGAAGCTGCATCAACCTTGGGCGCTGTGTCCAAGGTTGATTTGCTTGTGTCGTGGATGGATTGTGCCGTTGTCGTTACTCTCTCGACACACGAGCCAAGTCAAGTCACTGAAAACGTCACTGTGCGCGATTTCTGAGAGAAAGTGTAGATAAAAGATGCACGTCACTCTGAAATATTAGCGACCTGGAAACTGTTCATGAGCACATAGAAAGCTTGCTTAAGATGTGCTGACGAGCAAGGGATTAATAGGTCATGCAAAGGTAGTGCCACTTTATTGCGCACTACTAACGCAGACATATAAGTAAATTTTTGTGGAGTAATATTTTTCACTATAAAGAAGCAAACAATATTTCAATACTAACAGGGAAATTGTTGACCATGTACACTAGTTTGGGGTCACGAAACAAGGCAGCACGAATTATTGAATTTTTTCCACCAGGTGGTGTCACAGGCTTTTTCATGATTTTCAATGAAGAAATATACATGCTACTCCGCTTCTCAAGACTGAAATAACATTGGTTTAAGTAACTTTGAGGGATAATCTTTCCATCCGCGCAGTCGTCTCATTTCATGTTCTGGGCAGTTGTCGGCCAGCCCCTTTAATTAGACATTCTATCTTCAACCATCATACTCTCACCGTGACGATCTGACCGCTTGGGAGGTAGTTGGAGAAGCTCAATACCCCCACCCCGAAATTTTTCCATTTTGCACGCACACCTACAAATGCTCGTAGGAGCATAAATAATGTACGCCCCTCCTCCACCCCCATTACCCGAACAGAAAATAATAAATGCTTGATACACCTATGGATCAAATCGGGTCAGATTGAGCGGCAGCTAGCATATGTAGTGTTCACCAACGTTCATAGATACTATAAATGTTGGTGTTTATGTAGCCCTTGGCAAGCCGCAGGCGCACCTACCTTGACGGTGATGTCGTTGGGGTTAAAGAAGCTGACGTCGAGGCGGACTTCAAACTTAGAGTCGTCGTTGACGACCTCCGAGACTCCTGTAGAGCGGGGCACTACGTCGCAGGCACCGCCGGACACCTGCATATGTTGATATGACACTTAACATAAGCAAGGGGCACTTGGAAATAGAGAGTTTTTGTGCTGAGGTCGCCAAGCGGCTGGCATACCCAAATTATTGCATACTTCTGTATTCTCCGTGGATTCAGCTGGCGAACAAAAGAAAACAGAAAGATTTCTAGAGAACACAAGAACGCTGGGACTCGTCCAATTAGCAAGGTATTCCCGGTACTTAAGCTCTATGACGGAGTGCCACATGAAATACCATCGTACTAAATTCGCAGCTATAGCACTGTTTAGCGTGGGCACACCCCCCATAGACGCTTGGTAGCACATCTCTATCCTGATGCCTAACGTTGATTATTTGCTTAAACAATAATTTGGGGTAAGTGTAGTAGGTAATGGTGATAGCGTAATCAGGGAAAGTGGTGTGACAGCTAGAAGGGCATTACTGGTTGGACGCGGAACTTTGGTCGTGATCGCCATGCCACGGCATCTTAAAGATTTATTAAACACTACGGCCAAATTGGAGAGAAAGGGAACGCGCGTCGTGTCTTCCCAGGCCGTGCTTGCGGTCGCCTCGAAAAAGCAGCTAGGCTAGAGTGTAACCTGGCTGCTTTTTCGGGGTGACCACAAGCGCGGAGAAGGCGGTGTCACAACCAGGCTAGACAGGGCCGCGTCGCTGAGCAATTTTAATATGGATGAATTCCGTGAGCGAAGCCGAAGCTTCGGTTAAGGTCGCCACCTCGCAGAGTGTTAAAGCGTTCAAGAAATTACACAGCATGAGATGGACGTGTTGCCACGGCGCACTGCAGGAGCTAATATCGGTCGCCATGTTTACGATGCATTAAAAAAAAAATGATTCTGAACAGAGAAAGGAAGAGAAAAGTGAGCCCCGTAACTGTCTGCTTCAATGAGCGACACCTCAACAGTAGCTCACAAGGGATGGAGGTGAGGAGGGATCGAAAGGGTAGGAGTAAAGGTGTAGAAAAGAGGAAGAGGCGTGAGGTGGTAAGCCAGAGAGAGCGATGACAAATCGAGGGGATAGGAGAGATAAGAAAGATGGAAACACGGTCACAGGAGTCCGAGCACGGGGCACCACTTGCGAGAGCTCTTGTCGGCGTCAGTAGATGGCGTAGAGCAAGTCCAGTCGGTCAGAGCTACACTGTCGTCGAAGGTCGTCGGCGTCAGGAGATGACGTAGGGCGAGCCCAGTCGGCCAGAGCTACGCTGACGCCGGAGATCGCGAGGGCACAACCGGTCGGCACGGAATCCAGCAAGCGAGCTCTCTTTAGCTCTCCGAGGCATCGACGTCACCCCGCCAGCCCCACCACGATAGTCTAGTGGCTAAGATACTCGGCTGCTGACCCGCAAGTCGCGGGATCGAATCCCGGCTGCATTTCCAATAGAGGCGGATATGTTGTAGGCCCGTGTGCTCAGATTTGGGTGCAAGTTAAAGAACCCCAGGTGGTCGAGATTTCCGGAGCCCTCCATTACGGCGCCTCTCAAGAATATGGTGGTTTTGGGACGTTAAACCCTACATATCAATCGTCACCCCGCCTATCAAGAGCACTGTGACAGCAAAGAGTGTGACATAAAAGGCGTGTTTGGAAAGGCTACATAATGCGTGGCTCCTTAATGCGTTAACGTGGGCCAGGGGTAGTTGGTTCGACTTTCTTCGGTGAAAATTTTACAAACGAAGCTCCTTACGCTGTGGTTGAGTTCCTCCGTTGTTGTTCGTCGTAGCCACCCTGGATGCTTCTCACAATATTCACTAGATGACGCTGCGCTGTGACAGTGCTCGGGCAGTACTCAGGCAGACCTATTAGCACATCAACAGGCCTTGACGGCATCCCAATTATGCTGATAAAGAAACTAGGACCAAACTCTAAGCAAACATTAAGAGAGGCAGCAAGCAAAGCAATAATACATGGTGAAGCCCCCAATGGGTGAAACTAAGCAGGATGCACATGATCTACTCAAGGAAAGGGGGACAAAGTTGATAACAGTGGCATCAGTAGTTTACAGGCTGGTGATGCAGATAGCAAAGGAAAGACTACAGACATAGCTGGAGAATGAGGGGGTGCTGGGAGAACTACAAAACGGGTTTCGTAAACGAAGGAGGTTGGAGGACAATCTGTTTTCATTGGTGCAGTGAATTGAAATAGCGGGAAATGAACACAGGTCCCTGTGGCTGGCATTTCTAGATATCAATGGAGCTTACGATAGTGTGATTCAATAAGACTTGTGGGGAATACTGAGCACACTAGATGTGAAAGATGGAATAACTAATCTTCTAAAAGATATATATATATATATATATATATATATATATATATATATATATATATATATATATATATATATATATATATATATGTATATTAAAGTTACAACGTAGTTACAAAATGGTAAGAACAGGTATCCAAACCTATAGAGATACAACGTGGGCTTCGACTAGGGTGTCCCTTGTCACCTCTGTTATTTATGCTGTATCTACAGGGACTAGAAGCCAAATTACAGGAGAGTCGACTCGGCTTCACCCTCTCTTTTGCCAAGCAAGGAAAACTCATTGAACAGTCATTACCAGCATAGATATATGCATATGATATAGTATTAATTACCGACAACAAGGAAGATCTGCAGGGATGGATAGATATCTGCGGTAACGAGGGAGATAGGTTAAAGTTGAAATTCAATAGGGAAAAATTGCCGATCATGATTTTTAATTATAACAAAGGCAGTGAGCATGAAATACAGGAAGTCACGCTAGAAATAGTGGATAAATAAAAAAATATTTGGGCGTATGGATAAACAATGGGGCTAAGTACCTAAGGGATCCCGAAGGATACGTAATGACTAAGGGCACCAGGAATGCAGCCGTAATGAAAAATAGTACACTGTGGAACTACAATAGGTATGCCCTTGTGAGAGGGATTTGGAAAGGTGTCATGGTCCCGGGTTTGACGTTCGGCAATGCGATCTTGTGCATGAAATCAGAGGTTCAATCAAGATTGGAAATTAAACAACGTGGCATAGGTATACTTGATTTAGGAGCACGTGGGAATACCCTAAATGAGGGGTCCAGAGTGACATGGGATGGACATCGTTCATGTGCAGGGAAGCTAGCAGCAAAATAGTATTTGAGGAGTGATTAAAAAAAATGGAAGAGGAGCGTTGGAAGTCTGGCGCTCTATCCTGTCTCCTTCTTTTTCCGTGCTAGTACCTGTTGCGCCACCATCATTTTATTAAGCTAAGCAGCAAGTCGCCCAACGTCACACTCTGCTAAAGATAGGGCTAGGAAAGTTTTCAGCTACTTCTACATGAAGAATGTTTATTCTAAATAAAGGAAGCGAATTTGAAAATTGTCAAGCAAGTATTTCGACAGCAGCAGAATACCAAGCCAAAAGGAAACATTGATTAAGAAAGGTGAATGAAACAGAGAGGGACATGTGGAAGATTGGAATGTTTACGAAATCATCACTGGAGACCTACCGAACTTTCAAGCGAGAAATTGCAAAAGAAAAGATGTATGATAATTCTCGGGGTATTTCTCTGCTGTTCGAGGTCAGAACGGGAGTATTGTGGACGAAGACGTACCAAGCCAAATACGAAGGCACAGACGTAGTGCGTGGGGAGAGGAGGAGGAAACGGCGGAACGTCTGATAATGTTCTGTAAAGGGCTCCACCCCATAGTATAGTCCAAGATAATGGCGCGGAACTTTTCAAAGCATTGGGGCTTAGGGACAGTGAAGGCAAGATAGACTTTAAACGGGCAGAAATAACCAGTAGGAGGCCAACTGATTGGTGGCTACAATCAAGGCACGAGTGAAATTCAATCCTTCAACACATAGTGATATTACTTAAGTTTATGTCTAGGTGGCGTGAGCCACCGCCTCATCTAAAGGGCACAGCCGAATACATTCATCCATACAACGTCAATTAGTTACTAGATGGCGTGGATAGGTCACTCTAGCGTGGAGGCACGCACGACGTGTGGGGGTCAGTGCTATAGGAGAGTGATCATTCGAGACAGACAGACAGACGGACGGACGGACGGACCGAGCTTCGACCCACTCATTATCATTCACTCTGTAAATGTGTTGTGGATTCTTCTTAAGTGTTTCTTTGCCATCTGATTGTGTGTATTTTTCGACGTCATTGCCATGACAGAAATACGTCACTGAAGTCTTCGGGGACACAGGCATAAACACTTTTCGTATAAAAGAAGTAAAAGAGACAAAAACACCAGACAAGGTGACTGCTGGATTTCTTCTGGATTTTCAATATAGAACGCCGCCATTACCAAACAGAGAACGTAAGCATATTCGCAATATTAATAGACACATTAGGTTGGGCATTCTCTGTGAACGCAGGCTGCCTGGTATCCACAATGGCAGTGTGTGCCCACAGTGCTGATATAGTGGCTAGAAAGCCACTATAGTGCTGCTGTGGATACCCCCTCCCTCCACCCCCTTAAAGGGGCCCTGATACACTTTTTCAAGTAGCCAAAGAACAGATTCACTAAAAGAGCTTATTGCCTCACAAATTCAATGCCGCAAAAATTCAAAGAATCCATCCAGTACCAGCAGAGTTACATATAAATGTCGCACGCTGCAATCGGGTTTTCTCTTCTTTCGTCCTGGCGAAAGCGCTGGAGGTTAAGCAGGGAGAGATGGCAGGGGCAAAGAAAATACGTCACACGCGCCTCGTGGCCTTGAGTACTTTTTTCTCTTCGAATACGCGGTTTTTCCCATGTGATTGCGCGCGCACGCGTGGACAAGTCGTGTCCTCCCGCGGCGATCCCTAAAATGACCGAGCGCGCCGTGTTCAAATCAGTTAGTGGCTGATAGATGGCTTTCTACGTGCGATTTTTGAGCGTCTTCCGTCATTTCTTGCGAAAAGAAAAAAAAAGCAATTTATTGCTGACTTTTATAATTTATTGTGAATTGCAGACCGTGTGCTGCACTCTATTACTTGGCTCGCGTGTTCTCGGGAGCTTCTACTACCGGTCGGCAACGTTTTCTGACCATGCTCAGAAAGTGTTGCACGGGGCCCTGCAACACTTTTTGAGCATGGTCAGAAAACGCTGCCGATCAGTAGTAGAAGCTCCCGACAACACGCGAGCCAAGCATTATAGCGCAGCACGCGGCCTGGAATTCACAATAAATTATCAAATTCAGCTATAAATTGCTTCCCATTCTCTCGGCAAATGACGATACAAGCTCAAAAATCCCTCGTCACAGCCGTCGTATCAGCCATTGGCCGATTTGGGCATCGAAAAGCCGGGTATTCGAAAAAAAAAATTAGAGCATCTCCCACTAAAGAGAAGCTTGAGTAGCTTGCGATGCCGCGCATGGGTCGACTTAAAGTCCCCTTCGTCACGGTCACCTCGTGCGATGTTAACGCATCCTTGCAAGTGGAGCACGCCATCAATTCACTGCAGTTTCTGTTGGTGTTACTCTTTTAGAACGCTTGTTGAAGCACGACACGCAGTAGCACGTGGGTTCATCGCGCATCTGCACAATCTCTATTCCCGACGCCATCACGTGATTGCTGAGAAAGTGTAAAGGAGAGAGGCCACAGCGTGTTACCAGAGCATCTGGATAAAAAACAAGGTTGTTTTCTATCCAGCGGCCGTGGTCTTACCCAGCCCCTTACACAGTCTGGAATGCGCTAGTGCGTGATCGCGTTCTTACAGTGCTTGGGCCAGTTATTGCGCATGCGCTGTGAGGGGGGGGGGGGGGTCACACACAACCACATTGAACTCGTCCACAAGCTGATTCGCAACCATTAAAGAGAAAAAGAGCTTAAGCTCATGAAGTGCTCTTGACTTCCCTCTCTGCTCAGCTTCGAGCGCTTTCGTCAGGATGAAAAAAGGAAGAATGCAAGTGGACCTTGCGACAAATCTTTGTAACTATGCTCGTACTGGATGGATTCTAAATTTTTTCGTGGCGCTGAATTCGAGAGCCAATAAGCTGCTTTACTGAACTCATTCCATGTCTTCTTGAAAAAGCGTTGCAGAGCCTCTTCACGAAGAGTTGGTAAACGGGGTATGTTGGCCCACCATTGATAACTAGCAGACCCCCATTTTCCAGTGACTGTTTTGCGTCACTAGGGAATGTTAGAATGTTACGGCATGTCATGTGTTCAAGTATATAAAGGGCTCTTTACACCAGCAGAAACCCTAACCTTGACTCTATACGAGGCTTGGTAGGCCAAAGACAGCACGTGGCGATAGCCCTTCGAGTTTCTCAATGAACTCGCAGTGACATAGAAAATTTTTCGATATTCACGGCATCTGTTAGGGCCTACATAAGTACATATTGAAGAAAAAGCAATTACATGGTGGTTTAAGGGGGTCATATAATTGTAGCAACGTTCGGGAAACATTGTTGAACAATTCAAAATTGAAGAAAATAAGCATTTGAGGAGCCATGATGTCACAATTGTTTTCGGATATACACTTTACGTGCGAAAGCGATTAGAAAGATTTCTCTCCCAATATCGAGCATTTTGTAACGTAATTAAAGACATTAGACCTAACCAAGCCTAATCATCCTGCTATAAGCGTTGTTTTCTAACTCTATAATTTAACCTATGCAAAGTTTGTGTCAATAACCCAACCCAAACAATGGCAAAAAAGCAAAACAAAGACTAGTCCAACGTAGTCCAAAATGACTTAGCGTTTCACTTGATAGTATCATTGGAAAAAAGCCGGCACTCCATCCTTAGTGAGATGTTACTCGCCTGTCCTCTCCGCGGTGACGATAGCGATAGCGTAGATAGGGGCCTCCTGGCGAAGGGGTCTCGGTCGAACAGGTCTTCATCCCTGAGCGCCACGCCGAACTTCTGGTCGAAGATGCGTGAGGGGTAGTCCCACGCGTTCCACCACTCCTTGTCCCGATGGCGACCGAACAGGCTCCTGTGGAACGGCATAGTAGCTTTGGACCTGCGCGAGGGCAGACAGCGGTGTAAGGCCAAGGCTGTAGATGACGTCTAAAAGAACCTTGTAGGACTATTTAGTAGCTCATTTTGGTGTAGTAATAATCGAGCGTGAGAATGGCCCATTCGCACGCACAAACCCACACATTCACTGGACCGAAATACGTGAAGAGCGCTGCAGTTTCTACCACACATCTATGACACTATCAGTGAAGCTGTGCGGTTAGTGTCAAAGAAAAAAAAAATGGTCCCGTATCTACGTGTTACACTGCAAATGTCCTCGAAAGGTGATAATCTTGCGTCTAAAGAGAGTGAAAAAAAGCTTTATTTGATGTTTTGCGCAAGAAAATTGGTCAATGGTATTTTGAAGGTGCTGTGTTAATGCCTCGAGCGTGCAGCGGAGGTGAACGAGCGCCTCAAGTCACGTCACACGTGAGACATGAGCGCCATCTGGCAGTTATCTTGGGAAAACAAAGCACGCGCGTGGCGTGCGTGCCCGTCTCGGAGGTGATAAGGTGTAGAACGCAAGGCGACGGGTAGGTGCCACCACCATGTCGTCTTAGCAAAGCGTTGGAAACGCTTGCCTTTTGTGCAAGCGTTGCATGGTCAGCGCAGCGTGATAAACGCTATGGTCCTTAGAATTCCTTATGTATGTCTTGTCTAGTAAAATATATACATACAAAATATTGACGTATTGTTATGGTGCCTCAGATATGCGCAATAATTGCTTTTTAATTGACAATCGAACAAGTATGAACGCTGAACCTTGAGCAATATTGGTGGGCGCTGTGGATCGGTTCGGCCGTTTGGGGCATCGGCCGGTGCCTTTTAGGGTGCCATTAAGGGTGGGCAAAGAGACAAATGTACAGACAGACAGATCATATTTTTTGCGTCGAAGGTCCCCAAGAAAGACTATCGTCTTTAAAAACCTACATACGCTAGTTGGCTTTTCGCGTGTGGGATTACAGATGGCCGCCCCTCCACGGTGGTCTGGCTAAGGTACTCAGCTGCTGACCTGCAGGTCACGGGATTGAATCGCAGCGGCAGCTTTTTCGACGGAGGCGAAAATGCTGTAAGTCCGTGCGCTCATATTTCGGTGCACGTTGAAGAACCCAAGGTTGTCGAAATTTGCCGAGCCTTCGACTACGGCATCTCTCATAACCATATGGTGGTTTTTGGGACGTTAAACTCCACAAATCAATCAATCATTACAGATGGCCATGCGTACTGTAGATATTGCCGTGAGAAATATGAGACAGAGCTCTACAGTTACCTTTTAAGGGCCATAACCACAAAACGCGATTGGCAAGCAGAAGTGCTCATGACACTACGTGCTCAAGCAGGATCTCTGGTAATTTAGTACTCGCTCATTACAAGCAGTCGTTGACTGAACACGAATTTGGCGTTCCAGCTCACACTGCAAAAAATAGCATCTCCTACCGTAATCTGCTGACGATAAAGCGTGTGCTGCTTAACTATGCGTGATATACATCCGCTTGGAAGGTATACGTTGACTGTGTTATTGTTTTCACACTTCATGCGTGTAGACGCAGGTGCGTTCGGATGTGTGTAGTATTTACAATGCAAGGATAGTAAAGAAGTGGAGATGTGTCATTTTTTAAAGTTTTGGGCTCTCTCGGTGCCAACGAGCTGCGGGCGGCTGAACAGCCAGCTAGCTCAACGTGCTCTTTTTTTCCCATAGTGCGCCCCGTGCCCGTGGGTTTCACTGGGAATGCTTGGAAATGGCATACCAAGACAGTTCTTCAAAAAAGAAAAAAGCATCTCACTTATTTTTGTATAAAACGCACGAGTTCGGGAGGTAGGAATACTTGAGCCACTGTCTTGCAAAATGGTTTTCGATGTCAGCGATAAGGATATGATAGGGGAGTTCAAGTATCAAGTTCTCATCTTTGAAGTGGATTTGAATAATGAAAACCAAGTGCAAATCGACTTTTTTATGAAATATTTTAGGAATGAATAGCAGTACTGCTGACATTCGCAAAATTTTTTAGCCAGTCAGACATGGAGTTATGAGTTTGTTGTAGGGGGAATAATGCATGGTAAACTTATGCATTGTTCAACATTATTGCTTTACTGTATTGCATCTACAGTTTTCCAATGTGGTCATGAAGGATGCATGGATAGCTGCCTGGTACTTTCAGGAAGCGGGGACACCGTAGTGCATGCCGGCGTCACCCATCATTTTTCGAGTGAACGAAAACAGAAGCTCACTTAGCACACTCGTGCTTATGTGCCAATATTTATGTCATAATTTAATATTCTAATTGTGTTATCTCAAATGAAAGGAGCGTTGTCAACTTATTGGAACGACGTGCGTTACAGATGCTTCATCTTAAAAAAATTGCCTCCACCTCCCTTAAGGAAATCGTGAGAAAATGTGAATGCATTTCTTGTGCCGAGACTACATGGTGTAGTCGTTTTAATGCCATAAATTATTGACGAGACGAGGGTTTGTACCGTAACCATTTATTTACACATTCTTCAGCCAGCGAACGGTCGAGAGTGAGGCACGAACTTTCCTCCATATATATATTCATACGAGTGAGCGGACGGGAGAGTGGGGCGCAGGTAGGAGAGAGAGCGAACGGCGAGAGAAGGAGCGGCGGAGCATTGCACCAACCCTCTCCTACACTGCCTCAACACACGCGGGAGCTCCGCCAAGCTGCCGCGATGGGAGCGCCCTCACGCATCAAAGTGCGCTCCTCCTCTCCACTCACTCTCCGCTACTTCGCCTGCACCACCTGTTCCGGTTGCTAGGGGTGAAGCAACGTTGGGTGAAGATGCTCCGCTCTCACTCCCAGAAAAGGGAGTGAGAGCGGAGAGATACCACCTGCTGGCGCGTGGACACCGGACGCCTGACATAGCTCGACAAAGAAATACATTCGCATTAAAAAAAAAAGAACATTACTGCGAGTTTTCTTTCTTTGTAGACATTCGTTCTCAATTTATCAATAGCTCCCGTTTTGTTTCCGTGGTTTTGTTCAACACAATCTAGGAGATGCAACGTGCTCAGACTGATGTAATGTCGCGCTTGGGCCTGGCCATTCGCATACCAGCACATATGCAAAAGTGCGAAAGGGCGTGGGGTGATGAGGCAACCAAAAATATGTACATCTGTGCATTAGATGATGTGACATTTAGCACTAGTATGTAATTGTTTGTCCTAATTTCAACACTTGCGAAGATGTTTTAAAGGGCCACTCACCAGGCCCCATACCGAATTTTAGTTAGACAGTGGAAGTTGTTGGGTGTCCGATGAGGAACATTTTGCCGCAAAAAATTTTTTCGAATCGGTTCATCACGAGCGGAGAAAACAGGTTTTTTGAAGCGGCGTGAAAAGAGGAAGGGAGGAGGCGAGCTCGAAACACTTGCCGCTCCTCCGCGTAGCCTTCGCAAGCCAAATCTCTTCCTCACCCTCTCTCCAGCATCCCTCCATGAGATGACGTGCGCGCTCAACGCCGACTAAATTTCAAGGCCGAAAGGCTGCCGCAGTGACGTCAGAAGTTGGGGGCCCAGTTGCCCAACTGAGCATGCTCAGTAAGACTTTTTTTTTTCCACATCTTTTATTCGGCCCAATCAAGCCGCAGCAGCTGCTAGAGCGGGAGCGTTGGTTCTCCTGAAACGTGAACGAAACACAGGCTTTCCGCCGCGTTTACGGCGTAACTGGGCCTCCACCCTCTGAAGTCTCTGCGGCAGCCTTTCGGCCTTGAAATTTAGTCGGCGTTGGCGCGCTGCTCCGCCGCGGTGTTCTAGTGGCTAAGGTACTCGTCTGCTGACCCGCCGGTCGCGGGTTCGATTCCCGGCTGCGGCGGCTGCATTTCTGATGGAGGCGGAAATGTTGTAGGCCCGTGTGCTCAGATTTGGGTGCACGTTAAGGAACCCCAGGTGGTCAAAATTTCCGGAGCCCTCCACTACGGCGTCTCTCATAATCATATGGTGGTTTTGGGACGTTAAACCCCACATATCAATCAATGAGATGATGTGCGCATGGCATGCCCAAACAAGTCCAACCTACGAGCATGCGAGCAGCGTTGCTTTGTTGACCAGCGTTATTTTGTGGTCTTCTGCCTGTTTCTGCGGGATGGTTTGAAAATGCTGGCTTAGACGCGGTAGAGTGGACGAGCACAATGAGTGCGCGAACGCGTAGGAGCGTTCCACGGTGGTCGTCTGCTCAATGCGCTGACCGCGGGGACACGAACGCATGCGAAGCGCTGGCACATTAGCCCCGCATCCCGTAACATTTCACGTGAAAAAATGAAAGGAAAACGCGCACATTTTTTCATTGCGTCTCATTATTTATATTAAGTTTTATCAATCTCTTAAAGCAACAAATACATAAGCTGCGCATGTTGTGTTAATTATTTGTTGACATGTCACGTGGGATAATGTTGACAACGTCAAAGCAGAGTCGTCTACGTAGAGGACCAAAGTCACTGCATTGCCGTGTACGTAGGGCCATTCCTACGCCTACGTCATGCCCTCATTCTCTACGCGTGCGCCGGCAGAGGGGAGGGGGAGCAGCCCACATCTTGAAATTTGACCCGTTTCCGCTGCACGTAGCGTTGCGAATTCTGGCAGACGTGATTATGAACGCCTCGTCTACGCATTGCGCTTGTCAGCTCTATATTGTCAAACCGGGTGAGTGGCCCTTTAAGGTATTTAAATATTTGGAATGGCAAATGTGCCTTGCGAGTCGAATCGAATGCTGAGCTATACGAATTGAAAATGCCAGTTTTCAAACATTGGCCTGCTCCTAATTCTCAGTATACTAATCAAAATAAATCACCACGGCCTTGATCGCGTTGATTTGTTCAAAAGAGTAGGCAGTGGCTTCCAGGGGGTAGCACACCAGGCCCGTGCACTCCCCCTCCCCCTCCCCCAAAGTCGGCCTATACGCTTCGGAGGGTGCAACGTTTCAGCAGATGCGCCCATCCACTGTTAATCTTGTGACGGGCACGGCAGGCTATCAACTGACCACCTCTCGTTGGCCAAATGAGAAGTTGCCTTGAAACAATGTGCATTCTTGCTAAACACCTATGTAGAAAGAAGCCTTAATGCGTGGTACATTGCATGATCTGCAACTCTCTCTTGCGGCGCTGCATACTCTTGTAGAGCGCGACTGTGGGTACAGCCACCGGAACGGGTGCCATGTGTTGGACACTGAAATATCTCCATGTTGCGTGTCTCCCGCACACCTGAGGACAGCGCTGAATTAACAAACGAATACCTGAAAAATGACTGGCTCACCCGGTCCTCAAAGCGTATGTGACATTAAGTCGGCATAATAAATCTCATCCAGACCGACTCGTAACAAATACTTCTGCTGATGGCACAGTCGGATTCAATATGATATATTAGAAATGTAATGAGACTGAGTTTATAACCGGCAAAGTTTCAAGTTCTTTGAAACTAAAATGTTATCGCCTTCAAAGTGGTTCCGTTGGGCAGATATACACCAGCGCAGTTGTTGTTCCCACCCTTGGCAGTAGCGCTGGAAGTCTTCTACTGGTATGACCATTAGCTGGTTGGTCAATACTCTTTTTATTGTTTTCTAGAGTTCCTAAATGAAGTCCTTTGTGGATAGTATTGAGGTCGAAATTCACTACTTGAAAGGGCTGCTTGACGCGGTGCATTTCCATGATTGGCATGATTGCAATGAATTTACCGCAATACATCACTGAGCGAGGTTCGTCTTCAACGTTTGCTAGGCTCTTTGAAAATGACCAGTGCCAGTGGAAAACTTACGTTCTTGATGAACGATATTCCCCATAAGCCTGTTTCAGCTCCTCAAAAGTCATACTTGTGAATTCTCGACTTTAACACGAAACAATATGGTGCAATGCTGATCTAAATTCCGATGCCTAACGCATAACAAAAACACAACTTCATTTATGGCGCTGTCAAAACTACTGTGTTAGCTGTACGGAGTTGTAACTCGGACAGAGCAAGTGGAAGGGATAAACAAACCGGGCTAGCACAGACCGTTCGAGACGACGTTGCCAGATTGCGCGTAGTGTTGCCAGTCTCATTACTTTTCTAACACACCTCGTATCACCTACATACAAGTCAGCCGGGCTATCCCGAGCTCAGTCTCGTCTAAGTCCGTTTAATCAATCTCACTCTTAACCACCCAGGTCAGTGTGAGTGTGTACGCAGAAGACGTCTTGTTTTCTCCGAAGGAGTAAGACATGCGTCCAGTTCACCCTGCGTCGTTGGTGTCAGCCCTCTGCGAGGAGCAAGCGGCATGCATTTTGACATTAATTACGGTGGGCGTGACGCTTTTTGACGACCGATATGCGAAATTGTACCACGAGGGGCATCTTGCGACTAACGCAGAATTAAAATGTATAATTGATATTTAAACATATACGAAATAAAACCATTAAAATACTCTACAATAAAGGCGATAAAGATAATTACGTGGTCTACAGGAAGAACAACTTTGCAAATATCATAAACATTATGTCATAATAGATCTGCCACGTGGGCCGTCGGCAAGCGATCTAAAAAAATGTTGTGTGTATACGTGCAGACGCTATGCCATGCGTCGTGGAAAAAAAATGGTGGAGAAGTCATAATAAAGGCTATGTTACCGCGAGTGTATAGCAGTATTGTAGTGGAGTTTAGAGAAGATAAAACTAACAAATAGTATATATATATAAACGAACAGACCACTTCCATAGGTTAATATAGTTAGGTGAATCGCATTTCCGTGCTTAGAGTTTGCTTGATAGAACTCTATTTAGAGCTACATTTCTAAGTGATGTCAGAGAATCCAATGCACATGGCCAATACGTAGCTTTAAGACGTATGCATATAGACAACAGGTGAAGCTGGCAAGAGATTCCGGCAAGTGAAATACTACACGCCCGCGAGTGTACCCCCAATGTCCAACGACGCCTCCTGGATCTAAAATCGGTGTTTGCGAGGGCCGAACGAAGAGAGACGGAAAGATAGAGGCGGCCTGCTGCTGCCTCTGACAGCTTACCTTTTCAAGCGGTTGCCGCGCGACGCTCCGTGAAGCACGCTAAGCCTACTCGATGCACCGCCGTCGCTCAGCCCCCTCGAGTCGAGGACGTCGTTCGAATGTTTCAAGCGTCGCGAAGAACTTAAGTCTTAGGAGAAGCGCCAGATTCTCTCCCGAAGTGTATACGGGCTGCTGGCTCGAAGGCACCACTGGTGGCTATTTTTTGTTAATTATTTTTTTTTCCTCTGTGCGAGAGTGCCGAGGGCGCGCCAAAGGTGAGGGAAAGCCGCGCGGCGTCAAAAATAGTCCCCAACCACCGGGCGCGCGCCGCCGCCTCCGAGCTTGAGAAAAATCGCTCAGCGTTCCGTTCACAGTTGCACGCAGTGCTTCGTTATGTATGTCTTCGAGTTGTAGGAGGGAAAAGTAGTAGTGAAAACACCAGTACCAAAATAGTACCGTTGTTTTCGTCGCGATATCCCCGATTAGGCAGTTTATTTAGATAAGGTTCCAGAGCGCGTAGTGTCTTGTATGGCAAGATGCTTTTGGCGATCGTTATGAGTGACATACATGGCAGGACGACAGAATGGCATGAAAGATGCCTTCCTCACTATCTTCATTATCTTCTCTCTTTCGAGGCATTCAATGTGTCGGACGGCCTGAAGAATGAATAAACTATAGCATTTGCTAGAGAATGTACCAACGTCTCTATAGCTAAAACAGTATGCTAAGCCCTTTGGGTACGATACTGCGCTACGTGCTCCAAACGTTGAACGTCGAACAACATTGCGTAAGTCATATAGAATCGAAATAAAGGTGCGTGTAATTGCAATGATTCGGCAATTTATGCAAGCTAACTCTATTCAAGGAATTTCTGAGCTGCTATTTATTTATTTATTCAGTTACCCTCAAGGCCCGAGGGCATTACAGAGGGGAGTGGGTACATACATACATGTACAGCATACAAAGCAAAATACAACAACTGAAAAATTGCAATCATCACTTGCTACAGGGTTGAACTGAGGCTACGTACAAATAAAATTAGTGACGGCAGTTTTAAATAAAGCGGCATCTTTTATGGCAGGTCATTTCGAATATCTCCTGAACTTTCTCGCTGTAAAAGAAGCTGATCACTGTGCGCGCTTTTACAGTCGCTATAGCGCTCAACTTCTGACCCGGAGGTCGTGGGATTGAATCCCGGGCAAGGCGGTCGCATTTCGAAGAAGGCGAAATTCTACAGAAACCACCGTGATTATATTTAGGTGCGCGTTAAAAAGCCTCCGGGGGTTAAAATCTCAGGAGTAATGCACTTACGGCGTCTCTGCACAATCTTTTCCCGGTTTTCGTTCGTGAAAACCGAGCAGTTATCAAAGAAGCTGATTAGGCGATCTCACAAGAAAAAGAAAATTGTAAAGTGACATGTGGTAACTCGCATTCCGCAGGTCGAGTGACAGATTTTGCCTACTCTCTCCCACCTGGAAACCAAAACACGACGGGCTCTACTGTTATGGTTCGAGAGCTACTAGTCTTAAATGTTACAACGCGAACGTATTAGCCAGCTTTGGCTCCGTTCATCGATGTCTCCAACTGATACAGCACCACCAAACGATCTCGCTTTGAGGTCCCTTTGGGCTAAAACCGTTGTTGATGGACGCCTGCTGAGGTGCTACGCGGCCACTATTTTCTTATTCGTTTCCAACACCCTGAATGAGCGTCCTGGCACCCGCCGTTCCGCCGACTTGGCAAGCGTTGCACGAAAGTCGCCGCCCCGTGGAAGAACGGTCCTCCCGTTGGGAGCTCCCAAAATTCCGCCGCAGCGCTGCCGTGGGACGCCAACAAAAGAGCAGCAACATGGCCGCCGGCCTGGCGTGCAAGGCGCGTGAGTCAGCGTTTGTATGTGTGACGCTTGACTCATTACCGAGGCACGCGTCGCGTCATCTAGTGTGTGCGTCAGATATTTTGACGGCGCGGGAAAGAAAAAAATAGTGGCTTTGATCGAGATGATGAGTGTACGACTTCAAGGAGTACCCGCAGCATGACCAGAGACTAAGAGAAGCTTGGTATGACGGATTATCGCGTTTGTACAGCCTATAGACAATCATATACGTGCGCAGCACTCTGCATCACGCGAAGCGGGAGGCAAGTTTTACCGGAGCTCCCTCGTCCTTGCGTTAATTGGAACCATATACCAGCCTTGCCATGCATGTGAAAAAAAAACGAGTATCAAATGCGAACGTTCTCACATCGACCTGCCTTTTTTGATTACATGTCTTCCGGAAATAATAGCGTGAAGTTCTGGTGTGCAACATTTTGTAATTTCATAATTTAAATTTCTTTTTCTTCGGGGTGAAGGGGCCAGCCAAGCTGTGACACGCCACTTTTTTCCCTTAGTACCAAACCGCGTATACTGTGCGGTTTCATGTACTGGTCAAGCGGTTGGATAAACTCAAACCGAATTCAAACTCAAACATTGGCTGTCGTCAGCAGCCACTCTCGCCAAGAAACCTTCATGCACATAGGCTGGTACTTCAAACCGCGCGATGGGACTGGTCAGTCTGGGTGAATGTATGGGGTAGATTCAACCCCCCTCTTCCAACTGCGCGCACCTCTATGGTCGTAGTTGTAATCAGCATGTATGAGACGTTGGGATCAAAAACGAATAGGAAATCTCTCTATACGTCTCGAATATTAGTTTGACATTGAATGAATGCGTTTTCGCGGCTGGATAGCCAACGTTAGCCGACGTTAGCCGCTGTGCAGCCCGCAGTGAACAGAGTCAGCCACCAGCTGTAGCCGCAATTATAGCCTGTGCTGTCAGAACGCGAGTGAGGGCTCTAGCTTGCTGATGCAGGCCTCTGCTCAGGAGAAGTTGTACACGATAAGAAATTATCGTCAGCATCGTGGGCACTACCAACGCCAATCTCGTAGAGGCCATCATACTTCGTTATACCAGGTGGCGAGTGCTAAAGAACTTGTCTTACTAATACATGAAAAGAAAGCGTTGACAATATGGCGATAAGATAGCTGATCGAGCTAATACTGACTACGATGCATACCCTACTATCAAGCTTTCTTATGATTGGGACCTCATTATTACACCTAATTACAGACTGTCTCCATTTCCTGTGATGCATTCTGGTGACAGACGTATGACAGTGAGTCTTCGTTCCGACAGCAAGCCAAGTAAGTTACAATATTAAATATGAAACGAAGTCTATTGTCAGCGGTTCCACGGAAAACCACCTGGCGAGGCGGTGTCTTGTTATGAATTGGTTGGTTGGTTGGTTGTTCCTCAAAGTCCTGGCGCAACCCACCACGGGGGATTGGCCATAAAACGGACGGTACCTCATTTGTGAGATCGAATTGTTTTACCAGCCGGGTTATTTAGATAGGGATGTTTAAACAAGGAACAGATTGATAAACGATGGATTATAAATAAAATAAATAGAGATAATAGAAATAAACGAGCAAGCTAATATGGTTTGAAACAAAGTGAATTTATGCATCAGCTTAACATTCTATTTGTTTTGTTGCCTTTAGAAAATCGCATACGGCCTCGCAAACGTTCCTGTGGCTAAATCCCTTTTCAGTTGCTCCAAAGGAAAGGACCAATGGAAGGGATAAATTTATAGCCAACCTAAGAGAGGTTCTTATAACAGTCTCTTCCTTGATTTGTATAACACCTGCATGTTAAGAGGTAATGATGAAGGGATTCACTCTCGTTGCAGTGGAGGCATAAGGGAGACTGTGCCAGATCAGACCTGCGAAGATAAAAATTCAGGGGGGGGGGGGAAACTCGGCATCATAGTCTCGTAATTGATATCTCCGACATTCTAGAGGAGCACCATCGATTTTTCCTGGGGTGCTTAAGATTAGAAAAATCAGATGTTGACAAGCGAAGTTTTTCAAAATGATTTGAAGTAACAAAATTTTCAAAGCTTGCCACGGTGATGAATGCTAGCGTCGGTAATATAGAAATTATGGGATAATTATGCGAGGCCACTGCGAGTGCGTCTGCATATTCATCAAGGGTCTATTTGAGCTTCTTACCTTCCTACATTCTACCTTTTCCTTTGACGCTGAAGAACTGGATAACTGATGTATTGACTATTCGGGAACCTTGGTTATCAAGCGGTCAGCTTACGCGCCGCAAAATTGCTGTCACTGCCATCGTAACTCACCAGTACCACCGCCGATTCAATTTGACGGCAGTTTAGAGTATATCATCATCATCTACATCATCATCATCATCATCATCATCATCATCATCATCATCATCATCATCATCATCATCATCATCATCATCATCATCATCATCATCATCACCACCATCACCATCATCATCGTCATCATCATCATCATCATCATCATCATCATCATCATCATCATCAGCCTGACTACGTCCACTGCAGGACAAAGGCCTCTCCCATGTTCCGCCAGTTAACCCAGTCCTGTGCTTGCTGCTGCCAATTTATACCCGCAAACTTCTTAATCTCATCTGTCCACCTAACCTACGGCAAGCACTCTCAAATTATGACAAGTAGATTGCCACTATCCCTCAAGAGGAAGGTATATAACAGCTGTATCTTGCCGGTTCTTAGCTACGGAGCAGAAACCTGGAGACTTACAAAGAGGTTTCAGCTTAAATTGAGGACGACGCAGCGAGCAATGGAAAGAAAAATGGTAGGTGTAACCTGAAGAGACAAGAAGAGAGCAGAGTGGATTAGGGGACAAACGGGGGTTAAGGATATCATAGTTGAAATAAAGAAGAGGAAATGGACATGGGCCGGGCATGTAGCGCGTAGACAGGATAACCGCTGGTCATTAAGGGTAACTAACTGAATTCCCAGAGAAGGGAAGCGGGTTAGGGGGAGACAGAAGGTTAGGTGGGCAGATGAGACTAGAGTATATACAAAACAGCAAACGTATGATTGTGGTTGTGATAACATCAGGGGGGCAAAGTCTGAATAGGCACCTGCCCTTCATATTGTATGTAGACTGCAGTTACTCTGAAGGCGTGCTGAATTCACAATTAGAAATCAACATATGCGGTCTCGGCAAGCATTCTCAAATTCTGAATGGTAGATTGCCAATATCCCTCAAGATGAGGGTGCATAACAGGTGCATCTTACCGGCACTTGCCTTTGGAGCAGAAACCTAGAGGATTACAAAAAGGGTTCAACTTAAGTTGAGGACAACGCAGCGAGCGATCC